TTTCACTTAGCTATAAAAACAAGTAAAATTGCAAGATTGAAATCCTTAGCAAAAGGAGAAGAAGTGAGAGTTCTACCCTTGATTATACTCTTACTCTTTGAATTCTTTCTCTAAGTTCCTTCTCTTCTTCCTTTTTCTTGCGCATCCATCTCCAAAACAGAATACCCACTCCGATTAGAACGACTGACATGACCACAACAGGTACTAATATTGCTGCAATTGGCACATCTTGGTTTTCAGATTTTTCTTTTCCTATACATTATCGAAACAAATCATCAAACTATGGGACTCTTAACACAACTAATTTGTTTCTAAGTATAAAACGTCCGTTGGAGAATAATGCTTTACTGTTGATCAGAAATAAAAATAGTATGCAGAATACGTAAGAAAACATTTAGTGCATTCGCTTGCAAGTTATCAGTTAAACTGTGCAAGGACGTTCACACTAGTTCAAATTCATCTATTGCTCTTGATCAGATATAAAATAAAATCAAAATAGTATGCAGATTTCAAGTGGAAACCTTTAGTGTTAACAACAATTTGTTCACTTGGCTSTGAGCCTTCAGCGTTTATAGACGCAACACGCATCAGATACTCTGTGCYYGAATCAAGGTYCTCTACTGTAACAMTTCTCTTGTTGGCACCGACAATCACTGCATTGTAGTAGGGCATTTGAGTGCCAGCTTTCTTGTACTGGACTGTATAGTTGGTAATACGGAATGGCTCATGGWAAGCAGGCGCTGACCAGCTAATAGTGACGGAGGTAGTACTAATGTCACTTTGGCTAAGGTTAACTGGAGGTGGAGGAGAGGCTGAAAAGAGAGAAGAGGAGAAATAAGCATCATAAATAGAAATAATGTCGACAAAAAGACTCCCGTCTCAACTGCTTCAGTTATTGGTGATAATCACCATACCGATTCAACAACATCTCCATATTGAAGTATCAAAATGTCTAAATGATATCGTAATACATATTTAGCTTAAACTAMAGTTTGATTGCCAGTTTACAATATAAAGTGGAAGTGAACTAAATCTAGAATAATGGTGAAAAAACTAATGATAATAATATATATTATTAAATAGATGATTTCTAACGCGCGCTCTGATTGGCCAAAAAAAGTGTGGTTTATGAGAGTATAAACCACGATTGTACGCGAGCGATCTTTGAAAAAGGCAACAAAATGGATTTTTGCTTAAGTTTTGCTCAAAATCTATATAATAAAACAAATAAATAAGTCTCAGCCTGTGGTTTATACTCTGATAAACGCACGCTTGGCATTTTCTCTTGTGTTTCAAATACCAAGCGTGCGTCTATCAGAGTATAAACCACGGCTGAGCTTTATTTATTTGTTAAATAATTGTTGAAATATAGTTTTCCAGAAAACATACAAAATAAATTGTCGACCCCAAAAGCACTAATTAAGGATTAATAAATACCTTTAACAAGAAGGGATTTGAACTTTGACGACGTAGACTTTGCTCCTTTCAAAATTCTTCCCGTGATACTTTGCGTGGCGGACCAGGATGTTGTGTTAATCAATTCAGCGGTAATATCAAACTCAACCCCAACGCTACCTTGGCTGTATCAAAAACAACATGATTGAGATGTAACGGACGTTAATTGATTTGCAATACTTGTAACTAATATTAAGCGCATATACAGCTATTTCAAAAAACGTTGAATACTGACAGTGGATACAGGATAGTATATTCTTATGTTCTAAGATTGAAATGCATTTTTGGTAGTTGTACTGCAGTTGACATGTCAAACAATTACATTGGAAAAACATATAGTTGTTTTGCTCACTTTCCCTTCMTATTTTGGTAATCTTACCTTGCCTTTGGAAGTACGATTAAATGTTTTTGGAGGATTTTTCATGAATTTTAGGGATATATSTACAAAAGGTCTAAAACTTCCAGATATTTYACAGATTGASCAAATTAACATCGGTCATGTTAAAATTCACTTAGATGCCCGGATTAGCAAAAACGAAAGGTAGCCAAAGACTACAGGGATTCCAAGCGATTGTATAGCAGAGTAAATTGTACAGAGAATTGTAACCTCGCAATCACCACATCTATGTGGTGATCGCGTGGTTACAAAGCTGACATGAGCATGTAAGTTATACTGGACTCTCTTTCCCCGAGAGTCTTGGAGCAGGTCGAAAGGATGCCAGGACTGGACTAAGTCCCATAGAGCCAGGAACTTCAATGGAAAACAATGAAGATCTTAGAATTCCAGTATTTACTATCTAAATTTCAACGTCTTCTGAAATATAACTGCATAAAATGTCATCTACGCGTCATGATTTATCAAACATCCACAATACCTTTCCGTTTAGTACTATTTTCCAACAGTTTTTTTATGAATAGCTAAAATGTCAAAAATTTTAACTACAACTATGCTATACTTACAAAAATTTGATGATCTTTATCTGATACAAACGATATCTCTCTAACTGTACATTTTGAAGCAAATCATTGAGCTGAAATGATGCAGAATTACAACATGCAAAGATTAATATCCGTCAATCGTAACATCTTACAAATAGAATAGAAATTAAGAATAATATTCTCGGTATCATCAGTAATAAGAAATCCTTGAAGATGCTCTCTGCGTCAAAGTGTTTCAATATTGAAAACTAAAGCTGTGTTTTTAAAGAAAGGTTTCAGTTTAAATGAATGAATGGCTGCAATATGAGATGATTACCTTCGATTTAACTCTATTTTCTATGACTTTGAATTTCGTAGAGTTCCTTTCCGACAAGGAAGAGCTATACATTTCATTTTTAATAATCATCGTGAACTTCACCGCCACAAASTCTAAAAAATAGCAAAATATTAATAGATCGGATATAATCTTAATTGGCATCACTGGAAAAACACTAGCACTCTTTAAAGGTTGTAAATTTGATGTAATGTAGTTATGATTTTTAAATCATATTTATATCAATTTTTAAAAATTCAATTTTTAAAAATTTAAGGTTTTAAAAAAACCTTTAAAGTGCGCAATTTTTTCCAGTGATTTGTATCTTAGGTTGAAACATTGCAAACTAATAAAAACTGTTCGATTTGGACATTTTGATAATGCCTATACTATCGGGCTTTGAGAGCAACATCGGCTGCAAATCACGAAAGACATCATAAACGTTTTTCGTACACGCTTCGTATGCTTTCTACATCTAGTCAAATTGCCTCATTACTTACTTTGTGGCATCGTTGTCACATAGACTGGTCGACTGAGTGGTCCATTGCCATTTTTATTGAATTCCAATACCGAAACACTGTAGTTAGTTAAAGGTTCAAGATTCTTTATTTCAAAGTACTTTGTGTCCATGCTGGTGGTGTTCACAATTTCATCATTCACTTGAATTCGAAAACCCAGAGGAGTTCCATGCACAAAGGGAAGAGRAATAGGTCTCCATTCGATGAAAATCTTGTAAGGACCAGTAGAGAATGCTTGTACCACATCAGGTGATTTAGTGGGTGCTAAAGTTAAAACAGTTACAGTAATAGTTACTGTAAAATTAAACACATAATACTTTTACCATCGACTTGAAATACCTGGATCTGGACATTTCTTCACACCACAGTACTCCCATCGTTTGCTTCTACTGGACGTATAGCACCATGGACCATTAGGTGCCTGGCCTCCTGGATTGCGGCACCAATTGGAAGCATTAACCAGTTCAGGATATTCAGCCAATGGATGATCGTGACGATGAGGACATTGTGATGACCACGCCTGACACACGTGACCTGATTTTGTCGTACTAATTGTTCCGCGATAACCGAGGCCATTTCCATAATAACATTCTATAAAATCAAAAATGATGTTGGCTAACACAGACGACCTCTGTGTGTAAGAAAGATGATTATTTGGACAATTCCAAATCTGTCGTAATTAGCGATCTTTCTAGCATGGTTTAGGGTGCTATCACGACCTATAAATGGGACGTTATCTCTCCACGCAACCCTAGGTGAAAGGAAAAGTTTGCATAATATTGTGAAGTGTTTTCGAATCATCGTTGCATACCTTCATTTTGAATCTTGTCTGTTTCAGCTACAAAAAAGAATGAGTGAGCTCGTTAAAATATCGCTAAGCTTACTCAATTAAAACAACTGAAGACAGACTAATGTTCAAGCACTTCGCGGCACAAAATCCTTGCCTATGAAATTTACTTTTGGTCGATGTAGTAACTGCTCGTTTTCTGGAAAAAAGAACGGCTGAGAAAGAAATGTAATTCTATATTGAGGACATTTAGTGCGAAAAAATACAAATTTACAATGCCGGCGATAGAAGATTCACTGAAAATTTGTCAGTAGGTGTCTGAAAATAAACTGAACATATGAAACTAGAAGCCAAAATTTTTATTGGCAGGCAACCACTACATGTATGATGACTTTTGTGTTATATTAGCTTTTATCGTGAGATATTTTGAGAGTGCTATCAGAAACGCGGAGATATAAAGTTGTAAAACCAGTGAGACTTTTCCCATATATATATTTTAAGTGACGTTATTCTTTCAAATAATCGACGATGTAAAAGGCATATAATAAAAGATTTACTTATCTCGCTCACTCGGTTTGTACGAGAAAATATCAGATCCTATTCCAGGGACGGATCCAGGGGATGTGCTTTGGATAAGGACGCTACCCCCTTTGTGGACGACGTAACTTTTTTATATATCAGTATAAACGTTTTTTCTGCTATTTATACTCCTGTTGTACTTTTATCCAGAAATACAGAATACACAACATGTGTCTGCCACTATCAAAAGCTGGAATCCTGTGATGGAGGAAAAAGGTACACGCGGTGACAAAAGCATTTCCCCTTATAAAATGCTGGGTCGATCCCTGCGTTCTTTTTTTGTACGGACCGAGCGTAGCGAAATACTGTTAAGACCTTGGTAAACGATATTTTCCCACACAGACCTTGCACTCGGTTAATAACCTGTCAAATATTATTGTATTATATATGTACACAGCACAATACTGAAAACACCTTCTTACAGTTTAGTTCCCTCGGATAGTAGCACTCTGGGTTGTCTCCACCATTACGGTATTTGAAATAAGTACAGTTCACGTCGCTCCAGAGTAGAGTATACCCTGATCCATTTTGTTGTTTTTCAAAGCCTCTGGCCATTTCCAGCTCCTTGGCACAAGCTTTAGAGAGATATTCGCAACTTTCTCTGCAACTTGGTCTTCCCATCACCTTATTAGATGTCACATCACATTTTGGGAAATACCATGGACAGAGAGCTATAAAATAGACTCTCAGACAAGCCTTGCTTACTACCTTTCTTCCATGAGCTTCTAACAAATTTCGACCATTTTGCAGAAAAGTCACACTACCCTCACTATCTTTCTGTTCCAAATAATTGGCAAAAAGAGAGGTATTAGCCAAGACATTTTTACAGTACCCATTGGGGAAATARTACGGAAAACACKTGCCAYTGGAACTGATTATCGGGTGCGCAGGGATACAGCTGTAAATAAGTTTAGAAAAGAATCAGTTACAAACCAGTTAATCGGTTCTTTCCAATCCGACTACATGTATGACGTTTATACCCTATATGAAGTTATATGTAATATATACAATATGAGCGGCCGATCTGTATTGGGAGATACAATGGC